ATAACAATTTTTTGGAATTAAAAAAAAAAAATGAGAGAGAGAGAGAGCGAACAAGAAGTATTCCTTATTTTTCTTTAATTTTAGTTTTATCCTTTTATTCATCTATATACAATTTTATTTCATTTTCAATTTTTAGCAAGATGATTTTGGGTAGCTTTAGAAAAATCGTTTACCTTCCATTTTGGATAGGTGTTTCTTCACTTTACCAGCACAACCTTGGCAGTGAATGGAGACTCTCATTACAACAACCTGCCACCACATATATCAACCTTAAAATCCCCACAAAGAAAAAATAAATAAATAAATAATCAACAACAAAAAGAACATTAATTGATTTTGAAATTAAATAATATATTTTTTTCCCAACCTGAAAAATACCATCAGAAACTGTGAGGGGATCCTTTTTCTCCCGACTCGAAACGTGAAATGACGATCTCCTGATACTCGGTGCAGGCACCTTACGCTGCTCCCCCAATCGGACATACTTTGTGCTGTTTAAGAGTCTAAAGTGATCGACGGTTGGCATGCGATCTGGCCTCCGAGGCACGATCACGGACCGTCGATCTTGGGACATGCAGATGGCAGTGGAAGATTGGGAATGGCACATGAAGCCCTTCGTTTTCTTTGCTATTTCCATGTTCATGGCTAATGTTTTTCTTCCTTAGCTGTAGAGTGGTAAAAATATTATTGGTAGTCCTTTATATATGTGAGAGAGAGTAATGCTATTGCTACCTTTAATGACATCAAAGAAGTGGGAGACCGATGTATTTGGTGCATGGCACCATTTCCATAATTGGTCATTTGGTTATCTATAGCTACCAACCAATCAGAATCTCATTCTTTTGTTTTACAATATTAGGAATCATGTATGTATTGGTACACTGAGGTGAATAATACTTGTAAAAGTAATTAAAATGAAAAAATGTATGATATTTTATAGAATGAATATGCATTTTTAATAAGTAAATATAATTGTCTATAACGGTTGAGTAGCCTAACAATACGAGGCCACTTGTGTGTCTTATATGTTCTACTCATAAATTTATGTAAGATGAATGTAGAAGTGTTTGAGGACATGGGTACATAATACTTATATATGTGAAAATATGTTATTTGTGTGTGAAAGTTGAAAAAAAAAAAATGGAAAAGGGTGTTTTTGATTTTACAGTTAAAGATTCTGAACGGTGATAGTGTGGTTGAACGGAGAAGTTAGTTGGAAAATCAGTGATTTAAAATTGGGTTTGAATCTCATTTTGTTGATTTTTTTATGGGTAAATATTTAATTAGAGTTTAATTAAATTGTACAGAAAAATACTATGTTCCGAGTAGATGCTCGTGGTCTTTATCCCATTAATATTATGTCTTATTAGACCGCCCAATCGTGCGACCAGCTCGAATCCTGTTGAGGTAGAATGCTGCGTGTACCGAGCTTATGTGTTGTCCTTCTGGTCGATCATATGACCAACCATACCTTCAGGTCGAGTTTCCAACAGTTCATCCGAAGGCCCTAACTCGTATGGTCGTTATCCCTTTGAACCCCTCACATCTTCTTCGACCTGAAAACTCCTTGTTTTGCACGTGCGCTCGACCTCCGTTCGACCTTCATGCGGCTCTGTTCGACCAATCGATTCACTCGGCTTGGTCGACCGGTTTATTGGGTTTGCTCTACCCGGAAAAATTGGAGTTTTCGTCCTGTAAGTGACACCCATTTTAGGTTTGATCCTCTCCGATACCCACTTTTGGATAACGTCCCGTAAGTGTCAAAAATCTTGAGAAATCGTCCTACCACAGGCTACTGTAGGTAATTTTCACCGGCTGCCGAGGTGAAATTTGTTTGCAATTTTTTTTTTCTTTTGGCTCACGTGGCATTATGTGGCAGAACTACAAAAAAATTGTAGGAGAAGGGAATCGAACCTAGGTCTTTAGCATGACAAAAGACCATATAAACCACTTGACCTAACACATATTATGTTAAAAATTTTACATAACTTCCGCTATATATATCAAAACTATTTTATCCAAAAAAGGAAGTACATATATATATCAATTTATACTTCTTTTAATTATAAAACTTATAAATAATTTATCTATTAAATTATTATTGATTACAAAATAAAAATTAGTAAATTAAATAAATAAATAACAATATTATATTTAATTACCTTATTTAATTAAACTTTTTATTATCATTAATTTTTTTTTTATACTAATTTATCTTATTAAATTTTAATTTATTTTTTATATATTAAAATAAATTACTAAATAAATAAATATATATATTAATTAAATGAATATATATTAGATAAATATATTAAATGATGTTGATATTAAATAAATAAATATACTCAATAAATATATTAAATATATGTAAAATAAAAATAAGGTAAATAAAAAAAAACATAAATGATAATAAAAGTTAAATTAAAAAGTACTATATTTAGTACTTATTTACTTTAATTTCATTACTTATATACGAAATTTAACTAATATGTATTTTAAAAATATAAATAATTAACTAAATATGTAATAGTATTTTATTTAATTATATGTTATACTTAATTATACTTAGTGTATTATATAATTTAAAAGATATATAATAATTATGAACTAAAACTAAATAAATAAATACATAAAAATATATTATTTAATTTTTATAACTATATTCTTTATATAATTATAGATTATTGTCTTACTTATTATTTACTAAATTTAGTTTTTATTTTATTCTTTATTATTTAAATAAATAATATTATGTTATTTAATATAATTATTTATTAATATAATAAAGGAATAAACAAATAAATAATATATTATTTAATATATATATTTATATAATATATAATACTCATTTATTTCTTATAATATTTTCTATATTTATTTATGTAGTAAATATTTATTTAATATATAATAAAATTATCTAAAATTTAATAAGGTAAATTAGTATAAAAAACAATAATAATGATACTAAAAGTTTAATTATACAACATGATTAAATAATATAATATTATTTATTGATTTAATTCATTTACTAATTTTTATTTCGTAATCAATAAATATTTTATAAATAAACTATGGATAAATTTTATAACTAAAAGTAGTATAAATTGAATTATATATATATATATATTGGGATAAAAGGTTCTTGTAANAGTTCCACCTCAGCAGCCGGTAAGAATTATCTGCTTTAGCCGGTGTCAGGGCGATTTCTCAAGTTTTTTTGCACTTACGGGACGTAATCCAAAAGTGGGTATCGGAGAGGACCAAACCTCAAATATGTGCCAGTTACAGGACTAAATCTCCAATTTTTCCTGCGCTACCTGGTGTGGTGTCCCATACACTTATGTACCTAACAAAGTACACAACCAGACTTAGCCTATCCATTGAACAAGTTGAGTATATATATGAGCAATCTCAGTCATGAGCACTAGAATAATTTGAAAAGTGTACTGAAGTACATGAAGTTCACCTTTGAGGACATGCTAAAATACCCAGTCGTACTTGAAGGGGTACTGTGATGTAAGATGGATATCACATTCGAGTGATTCTCACTCCACCAGCGGATATAATTTTCAATATTGATGGTTTTGTTTCGTGAAAATCAACAAACCAAACTTGTAAAGCTCGGTCCACCATGGAATCAAAGTTCATCGCTTTAGAAAAAAGTTGGTGAAGAAGCCTAATGTACCACTCAGAATAGCTCGACGGACTGGTTTGGGCAAGTATCTTGGTTTAGGTTAGTCCATAGGAACTCCAACTCGCTACGAAGAAGATAACCCAGTCAAGGAGCTCGAAGACGTAGCTCAAAGTACTGGTCGACCTAATGAGATGAACTAGAAACGACGACCTCTAGGAGCCCGAGTACAAAGACGTGACCTCAAAGTGTTCAGGTCTGGAGTTGACCTGAGTCAGGAGGCCAGGAGTCGACCTTAGTCAAGTTACAACCAAAAGATCAAGAGGTCGTGGTTACGACCTGGGAATCTAAAATCTATAAAGGGGGAAAAATTCCTAGTAGGATGGAAAATATAGCTTATTAAGGAGACTTTCCTAGATAGAGATGTGGTAAGCTAGGAAAGTGGGTCTGGTTGGATCTCTTTCCTACGACCTAGGAATCTAAGAGCTATAAAGGGGGAAAAATTCCTAGTAGGATGGAAATTATAGCTTACGAAAAAAACTTTCCTAGATAGAGATGTGATATGCTAGGAAAGTGGATCTGGTTAGATCTCTTTCCTAGCACGGACTCTCCAGAGTACCAAGGCATCCAATCTATTTAATGATAACCAAGTTCTATTTTAATAGCATCGCATAGTCACGCATTGTTTATATACTTTCTAGTTTATTCTCGTAAACCAGTTCTGACTTTAGCGTCGAACTGTCTTTGTCAGTACCCCCTTCCGGCGCATTGTATGTCACTTGACCTGGAGGCTAGAGGAGGTTCGAGGATCATTCAGTTTAATCCGGTCTGTGACAGATTCATACATCAAAGTCGAATGGCTTTGATACTTTTCGTTCGATATTCTATGCTGGAGTAAGCCTTTGCCGCCTATAAGCAACATGTATAACGGTAATTCTAGACATACTTATTGTAGACATAATGTGTTTCGCTATTTGGTCACAAATGGTATTATTTCCCTCGACTATGTAAAGTCGGATTATCCTTTTACTAAAGAAATGAATAGAGATCAACGGATAATATTGGTAGAGGAAATGAGATTAAAAAACTACAATGAAAATAATGATTATAGTTGTAACCATACCTTGTTGAATGTTGATCCCACGAACTTGGTTCAAGAGGAAAATTACCTATCGATTGTATAGTGAGGGTAAGTCTTATGGACTTCTAATGAAACTATAACCTTCTAAAGGTGGAGTAATACAAGATACTCTTGATTGGAAGGTTGTCTATATAAATGTGAAGTGAGGCAGCTTCAAATGTAAATACTTATGAATTCAAAGTGTTGTCCATGGCCAAAATGAACACAACAATAAAACGGAATGAAGTTAAGGATTTATTGTGTGAATGTCATTGTCTTGGTGTACACTATGGAGGAATAGTTCAAGGCATTATATCTACTAAGCGGCCAGTACATTTGATGATGTTTATATAGAAAGGTTCAAAGCCACAACGTACATTTTCTAATTCAATAGAGTCTTGTGAGGATTAGACACAAAAGTCTTTATACATGCGTACAATTTTCATCATGTGAGCATTGTTGGAAAATCAATTATATGAAACAGAGTTTGACCCAATTCTGACTTATTTATTTATGGCTACATAATTAATTTATTTAAATTAAATCATGTAGAAAAATTCTAAGTTTCGAGTTGATACTTGTGGTATATTTACTTTTTTTAAATTGTTTTTCGATGAGTGAGAAATAAATGATTAAGTTTAGTCGTTTATGGGCACGTAAAACGTTGGTTGTGGGATTCGAAAAGTCAAGAGTCGTATCTTACATTAGACTCTTAAATAAGGACAACTCTTTTTATAATAAATAGATCGAGTTGGAAAGATCACAATAACAATAATGCACCAAGAGTTGGTGTTGCCTTCAGCCACATGCGCGCAAGCGCCCCCGCCTGCTAAGCGGCTCGGCTTGGCACGGGGACAGGTCTAGGCCTTGGCCTTTGATCTTGATCTTTGGCAATTGAACTGTGGATTTGACTTGGACAGTCTTGAACGGTCTG